CCAGGGACAAATATGTAATGTATGTTCACGACGAGAACAATAAAAACTGAAGGTAGGTTCTGCAAGGGAGGCCGACTTGAATGACGGGTGAGGAATTCGGACTGATACTGAAAATCAGGCCTTTTTGAATAGGGGCAAAAATTAAGCTTTGCAACTGGCCAACTTAATATTACGATCCATTCGAATCAGGGGACAGCTGTAAAAATACGGATATTGTTTTTTTTTCTTTCTATTTGCTGTTTTAAAAGTAGGAAATCATGTTTTTATGAAGCAATGCATCTCCTTTGTGTATATAGCTCTGATTCATTGTCCGGGTTTGATTTTTATCTTGGTCCCTTTTTTGGTTTTATCAGCTATTCAACGTTTGTATTAGGATTCACATGTTCAAATATTTTAGCCTCGAGATTCACTGAAGAGACTTTATTCTGTGTCATTTGGTCTCTTGTGGAGAGTTGTCTCATTGGCGATCATACCACATCTTCTTATTTTTTATGACATTCGATTAAATGATGGCTGCTTTTCTGTTGCAGTAAATAATCATGATAATTGATCAAATAATGGTTGATATTCTGTAAATAATCATGACAATTGATCAAATGATGACTGTATCTTTAAAACGCATGACAATCGATCAATTGATGGCTGTTATTCCTTAAATAAGCATGGCAATTGATTAAATGATGGCTGGTATTCTCTGTAAATAAGCATGGAAATTGATCAAATTATGGCTGATATTCTGTAAATAAGCATTACAATTGGTCAAATTATGGCTCGTATTCTGTAAATAAACATGGCAATCGATCCAATGACGACTGATATTTTGTAAATAGGCATGACAATTGATCAAATGATGGCTGCTATTCTATAAATAAGCATTGCAATCGATCAAATGATGGCTTCTCTTCAGTAAATAAGTATGACAATTGATCGAATGATGGCTGATATTCTGTTAATATGCATTATAATCGATGAAATGATGACTGATATTCTGAACTTCAGCATAAGCATGATAAGTATTCAAATGATGATTATTTTTTAATCAATAAACATGATAATTGATCGAATGATGGTTGATTTTTTTGTAAATAAGCATGGCAATAGATCTAATTGTGGATGATATTCTGTAAATAAACATGATAATTGATTACATGATGGCTGATATTCTGTCAATAAGAATAATAATTCATTAACTGATGGCTGATATTGTGTGAATAAACATTATAATTGATCAAATGATGGCCGAATTTCTAAATTGAGATTGAAATGAAAGATTGTAAGATTGCAGCTGTATATAGTAGAAAACAACAGGATATGCGAGGTTTAAAAGATATTTGGATCACTGATGAACTCAGAGATGTTAAAGAAATTAATCTTAATTATATTTTATCTCAATTATTTTATTAAAATATTATTATTCTTTTATTTTATCGTAATGTTTATATTACATCACATTTATTTGATTACGTAACATTATCATTTTTAATCAATTATAATTATTATATTTAATCTTTTTACTTTACTATATTTTATTGTATAATTGTTTTTAATATTAAATTTTGTATAAAAAGTGAAAATTGAAAGTTTTATTCATGTTTCTATTTTCGCCGAACAAAATTTCAATGATTTAATATAATGAAGGAAGTTAAACGAACAAACTTTATTATGGATGCAACAGTCATATCGATAACTGAATACAAGAAATACACAGCTTTTTTTCCAAAATTTACCATTTTCAAATAAAACATCACAGTAACAATTCGATTTTCTTTAAAAGGCGAAGGAGACCAAATGGACATTCAAACTCACAAGTCGAAAATAAACTGATAACGCTATGACCAAAAAGAAAAACAGACAAACAACAGTATACAAAACACAATATAAAAAAAACCAAAGACTGAGCAACACGAACCCCACAAAAAACAGGAGGTGATTTCAGGTGCTCCGGAAGGGAAAGCAGATCCGGCTACACATGTGGAACCCGTAGTGTATATCTGTCTTCGCAAATACTTTAAATCAACAAATATTCCTAAAAGTTATCGATTTCAATTGATTGATAAATTGGCCGATTAATTGATTTATTGATTTTATAGATTTATTGATGAGTTTTTACACACTAGAAGTATTTTATGTGTATATAATGAAAAAAATGAAAGTGCACTTACAAATGGAGTTGGTGCGATTGAAAACAAAATGGAAAGAATTCTGACTGCCGTAAGAAATATACGAATAATTGGGAAGAAACGCAAAAATAGTCTTTTCCAGCGTCAACATTTATTAAAGGAATGTGTTGAACGTACATTGAAGCGAGAGACACGATTGAAATAAAATACGATGATGTGGTTTGATTACCAATGAGACAACATCACAAAATACTACAAAATAATACAAAGAAAAGAAATGTTTGTATTCGGATGCGTATTTAGAAAATTATCCATATACATGTATAGTTCCTACGTTTTTATTTGAACAACAAAGATGTGACAACTGCAATACGAACGATTGGGGTCAACATACAATTTTAAACTATTATTATAGAACAGTGATGTTGCAATAATCTTTAGGCAAGGTGAATTGAAAATAATTTTAATATCTACTATATCGAAGGATATGAATTAGCATCAATTTTTTTTTTTGTTTTTTTTTCTAAAGGATAATACTCAAACATATTAAAAAGTAAAATAACAAAAATACCGAACTCCAAGGAAAATTCAAAACGGAAAGTCCCTTATCAAATGGCAAAATCAAAAGCTCAAACACATCAAACGAATGGAAAACAACTGTCATATTCCTGACTTGATACAAGTATTTCCTTATGAAGAAAATGGTGGATAAAATCTGGTTTAATAGCTAGCTAAACCTCTCACTTGTATGACAGTCGCATATAATTCCTTTTTATTGACAACAATGTGTGAGCAAAACAAATAGACATAATAGGTAAAAATGTCAAAAATTGGGGTACAGCAGTCAACATTCTGTTATAATCTTAATCACTATGAAAACAAATGAAACCTTTAGTAAGAATGCTCTACGGTTCTTAACGCAAGTTCTTAACCTGATGATATGAAATCATGCCGTCCTACATTCAAATATCGCCGACATAATTTCGAAATAGATTTCATAAACAGTACGCCATCTTGTCCTATGCCCAGGTATACCAGTACAAAATTTCAATGTATGAAATGTAAAAGAAACATAGCATCATTGTTTCTTGTATCAAACTATGAATTTCAAATAGCAAGATCTTAAAAGGACAACGGTCACTTATGACGTTACCTTAAGGATGTACTTTGGTGAAATTAAAAAAATCTAGAATTCAAAATTGATACTATAAGTCAGAATAGCATAGTTAAGGAACAAAATAACATAAAAAATATTGATAGGTTATGGAGCTCCTTTTCGAGATATTAATTTTTTTTTAAATGGCGGGAAAAGGCTGACTCGGACTTTAACCTTATATTTGCATTGGTATTATTTGGGTCTCAAATCGAAAGAAAAGAAATCTAGAATCTGCTTAAATTTTGGTATATGACCTTTTGTGAGCTATTAAAATCTTATATGAAAAGAAAAAGGGGTGTTATGAGGCAAAATATTTTACCCTGTAATTTAGGGAAAAAAACAAGGAGTCCGAACATCTGACACAAATCGCTAAACCTGACCTAAGTACATCCTTAAGTATGAATAAATGGAGGTGGAGAAATTTCAGTGTCATGTTTATCATAACCTGGATTGTTTACAGCGACTTCTGAAAAGTGGGGACATTTTCGCTAGGGGTTTCGCGATCAAGATCCAATGACCATAAATGTACGGTGACCTAATTTTTTTTTTACATCTACATCTTTTGGTCTGTACATAGCAGCTAGTTTTCTCCTTTGTAATTATACCATACCTCCTTTCGGCCAACGGCTAAAACATGTCTCGTATAACTGCGCTCGATTCCGTTCGTCGGTCCTTCCGCTAATCTGTCTGTCCGCCCGAAAGATATTGGGTAGAAAACTTTCGTCAAAGTTTTCCTGGCTTTATGAAAACGAATGATTTAATATTTGGTCTGCAGCTTTATAATGTTGAGATGTAGCGAATAGGCAATTTTTACATCCGCCATGCAGTCAGCTCCTGTTTGACGATGGTTTGGAAATTACTCCCTTCATTGCACAAGGAAAATTTTCGTCAAAGTCTTGCTCAAGTATACATGTTACATCAATTAATTGTATGCAGCGACGCAAGTCTAGATCAGGTATTGGTCTTGTTTTATATCCATACATTAGTCCATGGGGTTTGTGTAACATGAAGGCAGTAAACTAATATCTGTTCAAACATCATTAGTTAATAATTATGAAAATAATTTGTCAGTAGCACTTTTCTGGATTTCCATTCATTGGAACGCTCAAACACAAACATTTGTAATACAGTCGTTGTTTTAGGAGCTGTGGGTGGAAATGCGAGCGGATACAGAAACGAGCCAACGATAGGATTGATTGATTGTTGGTTGCTTAACGTCCAGTGGCAAATATTTCATGCATGTTCAGGACGAGCCAACGATAGGAAGAAGGGGAACAACGACCACTGTATGCACTCATACGGTTACACATACACATGTACGAAGAAGTAATCAAAAAATAAGCCTGGCAATAGTCGTGTTACCCATTACAAGTTAAAATTTGACGAGAAGTTGCAGTCGATAATGTGAGAATCGAGCAAAAGTGGACAGGATTGAGGGTACATGTACGACAAGTATCCAAAATACCATCAAATTCATGATGCAGTCGAAATTTCCTGCCCTTCATCCGGCAGTTCAACCTATAGTTTAATTGTATATTGTCCTGAATATGCATGAAATATTTGCCACTGAACGTTTAGCTAGTGACAATCATTAAATCAATCTCTTTTAAATTGTCATTGTTAAATAGTGAAATAAACAGTAGAGGAGCAGTCTAGCTGAACCATTCTATATTTAGTTTTTTAAATTCAATAACTTATACAAGAATTAACTTGCACACATTCCTGAGTATAAGGTAGTTATGTATTTCTAAACTATAACTCACCTGTGTCGGCGAACTGATACACTTAAAGACGTGACTCACATGATGAAGCTAACTTATTGAGGAAACCCAAACAGTATGGCCGATGGACTTAGAGATGCAAATAAACTTGTAAGTGTTTTACAATGATTCTGAATTTTTCCTTTTAACAATAAAGTGGCTTTACAAAGAGTCTTTTGTCGGGTATGTACACGATCGTTTTTCCCTCAGAAGTAGGATAAAGACCAATCTTTACATTAATTTATAGTACCATAACCAAATGTGTGTATTAGAGGGTTCTGACAATATTGTGGCTTATTTTAACAGATCACCAAATAATAACCCTCTGAAGACACCAAGAAACCACAATAAAATAAGGTGGATTAACGCTTTGTCGACGTAAATCACCCCAACCACGTTTATAGACTAAGAAGCGAAATTGTTTATAGGAAATATGCAAATCAGCCGATTCATTTCCTATAAAACCCTTTCAAAAATCTTGATTTATGTTTAAGCTTAACACATAGGCTTCCCTTCTATAGGTATTTTATTGTTTGTAGAATTACTTTTACCTTCAACATAAAGATATTTTAACACATACGAGGTTTTGGATGAAAAAAAGAGTGGGTACTAGTATGTCACTTTGAACTTGTTTGTTATAGAGGTAGGCAGCGGGGTTACAAGTTACTCCTCGCTTATCATTCATTTTAAATCTTACAAATGATCATGAAATGACCAGTTTAAATGAGTTGTATAGTAAAGCGTGTTGTCAATAATTATTAACACAATTTTTTTTTAATATGTACACCAGAAAGCTGACGATTCTGGAATCACCGTCACGTGATTCTCGGTTAAACACTGTAAGAGATTCCGCATTTTGATAATATTTATTGAGGGACATACTTCTATGATAATATGAATTATAATTTAAAATATCCAGATGCTTTCCGTTACAAGGTATCACAAATTTTACATACATCCTGAATATGCATGTAATTGTTTAATATTTTCCACTGGACGTTAGAAAACTATCCATCATTGTCCAGTATGTACATGTTACAATGATTGATTAAATTATGTTTGCTTAACGCCCAGGGACAAATATTTCATGTATATTCATAACTGCTATTAGAGAATGACGTCGTGCTTGATATCGGCAGAAACTTTGCTTTTCAACAGGTCACCTACAGACCATTCAGAGATTTATTGCAAGGGTACAGAGATCGTTGCACTCTTCCTGTACGATGCATCTAATTTAAAGTCCACATTTCACCGGACGTGGCTGTGTATTCATACATCCGCACAGCTAAATAAACTTTAGACGCCAGACGCCCGTTTCGTTTACAAGACTTATCAGTGACGCTCGAATAAAAGAGCTAAAAAGGCCAAATAAAGTACGTAATTGAAGAGCATTAGGACCCAAAAATCCGAAAGGTTTTGCCAAATACATCTAAAGTATTCCATTCCTTCGGTACAAACCCCTTAAAAGAGTTTTAGAGTTGTATTCCTCAGATCGTTAAACTTTGACATATTTTTTAACCTGGGAAACCTTGGGGACATTTGGCAATGACAAAATAGGTAAGTAATGAATAATAAATATATATTATATGACTACACTGAATAACATACATGTATATATATATAATATGACAAGAATGATGAATGTCTGTGTGACGTCCAGTGGCTACTATTACATGCATATTCAGGACTAAAATGCTTTGTGCTAAATTGACATGCTAGGCCGGAGTTTTAACGTGCTAGTTTACACTTGTAACAGTCCACAGGAAGACATGTCATCCTATAGCACAATATTTTGACTCCAACCAGATAAGACTTTGCTTACTCGTTCTTTACGGCTACACAGAGTGAAGGTCTAGCGAAAACTAAGTATGCTGGTATTTGTATGTTATATTCTGCATTTTATTGATATTACTCCGCAAATAATTATGTACTTCATTGAACAGATGTAACGTTATCGAAAGCCAGCAAAGAAGTCCGTTTGAACCGGTAATAGGGACCGTCTTGATTTTGCAGTTAACCTAAATATGAAAACACTGTTTGCTTTGTTTTGCTCAGTTCATATAGGGATTATTTTGTGTCATTAAAAACTCGCCGTATCCTGTCTTTTTCATTAGAGAAAAGGAAAAACTATCTCCCTTATTCAGTGTTATTTCTCCCATATAATATAATGAGATGTGGTCTGGTTGCCAGTGAGATAGCTATCCAACAGGGACCAAATGACGAGGATTTATTGAAGTATGGGTCACCGTACGACTTTCAACAATGAGCAAAACTCAAACGAAAACATCCATATAACTGACAGGTCTCTATTTTTTTGCTCAACTAAAAAATATTAAAGAAATTTCGCAGGGCAAAAGTACAATTCAAGATTAGGCAAGTATTGTGTCTCCTTAGTTTGAAAACGAAAATAATATGGTTTCAAGATAACTTTGATAACATAATAATTACCAATAATTGTTTTTACATTTTGAAATGTGTCTGTAGATATAGGAAGATGTGGTATGAGTGCCAATGAGACAACTCTCCATCTAAGTAACAACTTATAAAAGTAAACCATTATAGGTCAAGGTACGGCCTTCAACACGGAGCATTGGCTCACTGTGTTTTATTTTTCCTTGCAAAGATTTTTTCTAGCTATATTCTGATCTCCTTGGTCCCCGATAGATATTAAGAAACTCTGTCAGTTGTTGTCTTTTAGTGTTTAATGTTATATAGGAACTAGATACTGTAGAATTTGCAATCTATGTTTGGTCATTCCGATATATCATTAAAGTCAGTCCTGTAAAAAAAAATTCCCCCTGAGAAACATAACAGAGTTCTCTTCCCCATTCTCTCCAGTTACCTTTTACATTTATTGTGAGTTTAATGTCGACCAGAATATGCGTGAAATATTTGCCAGTGGACGTTTAGAAAACAACTATCAGTCAATGTAAATGCAAGAGTGGTCATTGAAACAAAAGAATAAATAAAAGTTTTGACGTTTTTTAACAAAACGGAGGATTTTTCTTTCCCCATTGTTAATTTTCCTTTTTTGGACGGTGATGTTCCGCTGGCACCATCTTACGTTGTTTATATATTCCAACTCGTTCGCTATGCCCGTGTCTGTAGTGAAGTTTTTTATTTAAATGAGCGTAATCTATGTATTACTGGTAAATTATTAAGTCAGGGATTTCGTTACCACAAATCACTTAAAACCTTTACTAAATTCTTCAATAGATACACAGATTTGGTTTGCAAGTTTGGCTGTACCTGTAAAAAACTTATTTCAAACGGAATAGCACATCCTAAATTTAACGGTGATGTTGTGAACCGAGCCCGGAAATTTAGATACGATCAGGGTAAGCTTATCTATCCTTTAAAAAAACTTATTCTAATAGGTTACCTATTCAACACTGTAATTAAATCTATATAAATATAAACTTTGTTATCAGTAAATTAAAACAATACTAAATATAACACATATGTAACTTCACGGTTCTACATCTGTCGATACCTATATTTTTGGCATTGCACAAGGTCACGTTTTCCTCTGACTGTTAATGACGTCTTTGTCATTGGATGTGTTCAAAGCCAATAACAACTAATAAAAAAAATCATATATCTAAGACTAAAATATCAATCAGTACACATCAAATTTCATGTATCTCAGACTAAAATATCAATCAGTACACATCCATTGATGTCAGTAACTGCGAATACTCTCAGATATGTACTTAGTGTATTTTTTGTCGTTAGGGATGAGGGATGGATATATACCCTGCCACGTTCTTTCTGTGTTTTTGTTTGATGTTTTTCTTTGTATCGATCTGATGAGTTAAGCCCTTTTCAACTGATTTTTATATTTTGTTCCTATGTTGTACTGTTACACCACTGTCCCAGGTTAGGGAAGGGTTGAGCTCTCACAAACATGTTTAACTCCACCACGTTCTTTATGTGCCTGTCCCAAGTCAGGAGCCTGCAGTTCAGTGGTTGTCGTTGGTTCACGTCTGTGATATTTGTTTTTTGTAAATTGTTTTAAATTAGGCCGTTAGTTTTCTCGATTGAATTGTTTCATATTTTTCATGTAGGGGCCTTTTATAGCCGACTATACGGTATAGGCTTTTCTCATTGTTGACGGCCGAACAGTTGCCTATAATTGCTTACATCCACTTTATTTGAACTTTGGTGGATAGTTGTCTCATCGGCAATCATACCACATCTCCTTATTTTATATTTTCTTAGTCATTATATTTGCAATATTTTTCTTATAGGACAGCGAGTGTTTATTTTCACCTACATGCGGCAGGAACATTTGTATCGATGGCAGTACCGCTACCTGGACTAACAATGATTCAGGAGGTCGTTTCTTTATTGACAGATCTATTTCTTTTGACGAAGAGATTATTTTAACATTCAGTGGAAAAGGTCATGCTGAGGTTGGGATAATCTCCATAGATCCTATAACAATAACAAATGTGAGTAACGTTGGATATATAAAAGAACTTACTGTTATACAGACGGCTAGAATCTACAAGCAAATAGGCACAACCAAAATTAAAAGATCCAAAGAAGGAGATAGAATAATTACAGAAGCTGAAGACAGAAAGTCAAGGTCCAAAGTTGATAAAGAACAGAGCGTCTGGGTTACTGTCAATATTTTATTTGGGGATCTTAAAGTCAAAATAGGTTAGATTACAAACGTATTATATAGTATTAGAAAGACATAAGGATTATACTGTAATGAGACAGCTACACAACATAGAAAAGCAAAAGACATCTTCAAATCAAAGTAGTGTCTTCAACACAATAAACATGTCATACAATGTGTCAATCTCTAAATTGTCCCAAGTCTAGAAAAGTTGCAATCTGATTGAAATACAGATCCTGTGCCCAAGCTTTACTTTAAATACAAGGATCTGAAAACTCTCTGTTCTACTTTCTTTTCTGGTAATTAATACATCAATCAATAGAATTCTTGCCCACAAATTTTGAAGAAGAAGAGGGGCGAAAGATACCAAAGGGACATTCAAACTCATAAGTCGAAAATAAACTGACAACGCCATGGCTAAAAAAGAAAAAAGACCAACAGACAAACAATAGTACACAAAACACAACATAAAAAACTAAAGACCAAAGGTGTGTATCATTAGACAATACCAGAGGATCCCGAAAGGTATCATAAAACAGAAAGAAGAACAGCAAGTTGTCAGATCCATATTAGCAAATCTGTATTCTAATCAGTCTGAAAAAGTGAATAAATTTTGAAATTTTCCGTTACACAATATTTGTATTGTAAATTGTATTCTATTTATTAAACATTATACCCACTTACGTATTCACCTTTTCTGTCCGTCCGTCAATAAATTTCGTGAAAATCGTTCAGCTGGTGTATTCTAAAAGGATTATGAGATTTTTATATTAAACTTTATTATGATGAGTTGTATTTAGGTTAATCCAAAAAAGCGCTTCGGACGCATGAAATTTGTAATGTGTTGTTTTTTTTTTTAAATTTTTATACAGCACTGGGTCGATACCTCTGCTGGTGGACTAACAGTTCCCGATGGTATCTATCATCAGCTCAGTAGTCAGTACTTCGGTTATAACAAATCTTTCTAAAATTGTCCGTAAATAAATTTTGAAATTATAAGAAACTAAGGTTTCAACTCCTTCATGAAAATTTGACCTTTAATGGATTTGGTTATTTTATGTCCTTTTCGGTCATATAGCTCTTTAACTATTTCGGTTCTTATACATCATTGGCTTTCAAATATTCGGCTTTGAGCGTTCCTGATGAAGATTAATCCAGAAAAACGCTTCTTTTTATTTTTATTTTTGTACCGTGTAAGCGATTTTAATATATGTCGGGTTTGACTATACTTTTAGAATTTTATTATACCCACTGAACTTACTTTTCAGATTCTTTATTTAGGAATTATTTTATATATTGTTCGGATCTTTATTTTTTTCAGTTGAACTATCATAATATATTTGATATGCAGATTATTGACAGTCACTTCTTGTTAGTATATACTTTGGATTTGTATTAATATAGCCACTGAGCATGAAAATAGTCGATGTCTTACAATGAATGGAGTACATTTTTACACAACATCGCATGTAACGTTGTTTCTCTAATTCTTCGTCAATTTATCCCTTTCTGCACCCATTGTATAAAAAAAATTTAATCAACGTGTGGTTCGTTTGATCTCAGTTCTTCATTGGTTAAAATCCGATTATGACGTCGAATTTTCTTGCTTTCCTCTGAATTTCCTATTGTGACGGCATGAAAAAAGGCGACCATGCCTGATGACGTCACATAGAAAGAACACATCTTTTTGCAGATCATTCAAAAAGAAGGAATAAGTTTGCCTGCATATTGTTTGAAAATCATTAGAGAAACAGATTCCACCACCAAATCTCGTGTAATACGATATTTATCCACTCTCGGCAGTTAAATTTTAAATATTTAAAACGCTCGGCGAGCCTCGCGTTTTAAATTTGAAAATTTAACTGTCTCGAGTGGATAAATATCGTATCACACTCGATGCAGTGGTAGAATCTATATATATTACAACAAGAACATCAACAAAAATAAATTTAAATCAGCCCAAACAAAAACAAGTACAATAACAAATAGCATAACAAAAATAAAACAAAGAATTAAAACAAAAAGGAACGAACGGAGAAAAAGCAAATGCACAACACGGATGTTCCTCCTTAATCAGCCTAACATGTAAATCCAAATAATTATGTGATCGAGAAATCACACGACACGGACCCGATATCTTATTAAAAGGTCATTTATTTAACGCACTACCATGAGTCAACTGTTCCAGACGTTTTTGTTTCTTCTATATCAAGAAATTTGGAATTCAAAAAAATGAATTTCTAGTCTACTTCATACTATTGCCATACAAATGCGGTTCTTGCTATTGTTTTAAAGTGTGCATGATTCTACTTGTTTAAAATTTGCACTAATTGTAATGTGCCTATTTCTATTTTTTTCAGGTTCTAAAGGCTATAAATTCTCGCCCAATAAAGGAGAAAATGTTTCAACGAAAGATGAATGTGCAAATTTAAACTACCCATATCCATGTGCGGTTTGCTTTGTTATGAATCCTATAAAACGTGGGGATATTTTATCTTTTCAAGCCGACGATATTAATAAAGTCGGAGCACCATCGAAAAATTGTAGCTTAAAATTAGCAATATCGAAATCCAACCCAGCGGAGTTTATGTTAAGCGCAGATAAATATTGTGATATTACGTCACTTCCTGTTACTCATTTCGACGAAATTCCGGCAAAAAGTAAAAAAGAAATTCGTTTTGAACTTACAACTGCCGGGACAGTAAAAATCAGTTATGAAAAAGGTACAATTACTAAAGAGGCAGGAATTGAACAACTTTATTGTGTTTTTGAATTAGGCAGGATCCAACTACGCTGTGCACGTAAAGATAGGCATAAAAATGAAGATATTGTTTTGCCAAAATCGGATGGTGCCGAACAACCAACTTCGATCAACCAATCAGATGTACCTGACTCTATATATATGAATAGTAAACGAGAACTAGACGAAATAAGACACGATGCTGAAGAAATATCGATATATAGTGATGATTATAATCCAGTTTTTGAATCCAGAAATATCGAAGGTGCTACTACCGATACAGAGAACGAACCAACTACTAAGTACACTAGTGAATCCAAATTTACAAAAACTGAACTAGGAGCAGACAATTACTCCCTACATGATAAAATTGAAATACTATCTACAAGACTGGTTTTGATAGAGGAAAATATAAATAGGCCTAATATAGGTATTGAATCAACTATGCAATCGTCTGAAATGCAAATTTTAAGGTCTGATATCAAAGAGATCAAAACATTACTTACTAAGCACTCTAGCAATGTAGACGGCGACTCAAATGTAGCTAATCATCTTAACGTAACGTCGCAAACAGAAAACTCTAAACCATTACAACAAAGAATACGAGAACATTTCCAAATGCTTGTGTCATCTTTAGAAATTAATCCAGTGTTAGACTGTCTCTACCAAGCTGGAAGCATAACTGTGGATGACATTCAAAGGTTAAGACAATTGTCGAAATCGTACATGGCAGAGGCAAACCGTGAACTGTTATTTATCATATCACGCAGACAAAATCTTGATTCAGAACTTTTTAAAGCAATATTAATCAAATCAAAGCAGGATGGTGTTTTAGCTTTACTGTTTCCACATAACTATAACAAAAAGCGTAAGTGACCTAACTGATACATTTTTAGAAAAGGATGCTCTCTGACACGTTTGCGGTCTTATGATTTCTAAAATAAACTGTAGCCTTAGGTTATCAGTTAATTAGGTATTTCATGCAATGCCCTTATGATGCTTACTGGACTGGTTTCGCTACGAACGCACCTAATTTATAAAACTTTTTTTTATTTTCTAGCACTTCGTCGAAACCGCTGCTGTTGGTTAGTCCCGAGGTTATCATCAGTCAGTCATTTATCAATACGGCTTTTGAAATTATAAGGTTATAAATCATGTCAGTACTGAACCACTTACTCCAGGGCTGATGAATTCCTCGGCGACTAGCAGTCCACCAGCAGTGGTTTGAAAATCGTTATAGATAATGCATATTAATTTTAAGGTTTATCTTGTCGTATAACATGGTGTGTAAGGTATTTATTATATAAGCTTTATAAACCGGGGTGCTATGTTTTTTCTCTTGTTTCATAATATTTTTTCGCGCTAAAGCTTGTTATTTTTTTCAACAATGTTCAACCAACTTTTCAGAAGAATTCTCTTTTATATCTGGCGATACAATTTTTTTCTTAACTTATTATCATTCGATTTGCAATATTTGTCCGTCAATGTAATTTTATTCACTTTCACTTTGGATAAGAATCCTTTTACAACCTTTTATATATATACATGATATATATGTTTTAATTATTATAATTCTTATCGTCAAACCATTATTATTCATTATGCAGGAATTACTTAGTACACATACGTCTGTAATCCGGCATCCATTATCTTTTTTTTGTTCATCCTTTAAGTGCTTATTTAATGTTATTAATTGTAAGTCTATTGAAAAACAAACACAACATAATTATTGTTCACATAATCAATTCATGTACACACAGTCATAACAATGATAGTTCAAATATAAATTCCAATGACATAACTGCATTATGTTCTTCTTTAGAAGAATCTATTAAAAATGTTGATAGGCAGGATGTTATGTCCATGCAGGCCAAGATACCAGTTCAGGGAAGACAAATGCAGTACGAAAGGAGTGAACGCAGTCAGGGTGACAGCTGCAGAGGGTGTGGTAAGTTCTGCAAAATCAGAAAACATTTTTTTCAACTTTCAAACGCACAGATCTCAAAAAGAAATAGAACTGCAAAAATATTGCAGTCAGTTCATATCAATGTAATCCATTCTAGCAAGTGTAAATGACAATGTGGTCAGCTGTTTAGTGGACAATGATGCTTCAGTCAGCTGCAGTTTTGTTAACTTGCTAAATGATTTGGGCATAGAAAATTTCAAAAAATATATATCATATTTCACGGAAGCTGATGGTGTTGGTGGTGAGGTACATAAAATATTAGGAGTTGTAACCCTACAAGCCCTACTAGGAAATGTTACATGCAAACATAAATTTTATAACCTAACTAATATACAACAACGAACGATATTAGAGCATGAATTTCTGAAAGGTAACATATTTCATCTTCATTTTGATGAGGATATCTGATTTATTCCTGAAAATTGAACAAAATGTATACAGCAATTGAAATGAATTCAGGCTAATCGAGGACTCTCTCGTCTGTCACTATTTCACCCTTTTCTTAAGTGCAATATCATTAGAGCCTCAAGTGTTCAAGGTGAGATTTCAATTCTGTAGCTTCTGTCAAGTTTGCCTCAGCAGTCGATAGCTGGTGCAAAATGTTGGATTTCACTGGTCAATTGAAATTAGTCTCTTTTGCAAACCTACTAAGAAAAGGGTTTTGCCTGATAATTCTGTAGTAGCTTTTATAGACACAGGAAATGCCCAGTCTATCAGAACAAAAGTATAACCAAATCACCGAGCTCCAAGGTAAATTCAAAAAGGGGAAGTCTATAAAAACTGACAAAATCAAACGTCATCAACCAACGGAACGAGTGAATAAAAATATCATATTTCTGACTTGGTACAGGCATTTGTCGAAGAAAATATGGCAAGTTTTGTTGTGATTTTCAATCACTGAATCATGCATGTCTGACTCACTTCCTTTGCCTCGTCCTGATGATGTCTTTGATTCTATTGGCGAAAGCAAGGCTCAAGTGTTTAGTACGCTTGACCTTTTTTTTCGGGCTATTAGCAGTGCGGCATTTACCTTTTTACTGCTGATAAATCTGCTTTTTTAATACCTAGGGTAGTATATTAGTGCAAGGGACCTTGCATTCGTAAAAGCCTCAACACCTGCGTCATTTCAGCATATGCTTACACATGTGTTACATGGTCTTAAATACCAAATGTCAAACATGTCAAATACTTCTTAACTATTGGCTACCATCCAAAAACTAATTATGTTGCAGAACGCACTAATTATAAAATTGAGAATGGAAATTGGGAATGTGTCGAAGAGACAACAACCCGACCATAGAGCAGAAAACAACAGAAGGCCACCAATGGGTCTTCAACAAAGCGAGAAAATCCCGCACCCGGAAGCGGGCTTCAGCTGGCCCCTAAACCAACATGTGTACAGTTCAATGAAAATGGACGTCATACTTAACTCCAAAACATATAAATGAACTAAAATTAAAAAAACATGCAAGACTAAAAAAGGCCAGAGGCTCCTGACTTGGGACAGGCGCAAACATGCGGCGGGGTTTAACATGTTTTGTGAGATCTCAACCCTCCCCCTATACCTCTAGCTAAAGTAAAATAAACAAACACACATCAATACACACAGTAAAACTCAGTTTAAAAGTAGTCCGAGTCTGATGTCAGAATAGATAACAAAAGAAACTAAGCAAAATGACAATGATACATAAATTAACAAAGGACTACAAGCAGTTACTGGCATGCCAGCTCCAGACCTCAATTAAACTGATTAAAAGATTATGTCTTCATCATATGAAAATCAAGTACAATCCCTCCCGTTAGGATTCATACCATCATAAAATATATGAGAAGAACATAACCCGTATCATGCCAACAACTGGTTTTAGAATAAATGTGTTTATTTCCTATGCAAAGACCTTATGAGTGAATAATTATAAATACCACAATATACCATCTTTAATGACCTGACAACAGTATCGTAACTATATCCCTTCTGAATAAGTCTGTTTAAAGGTTTGGTTAGCTTTTAAGGTGAACGTTTACATTTCTGTGCTTTGTATAGAATATTACCATAAAAGATTGGATGTGAAATACCTGAACGTATAAGATGTCTGCATGTTGATTTATATTTAGGAATGATGTCCGTGTACCGAAGATAAAATTTAGTAAATGTTTTGACTAGTTTGTGATATCGAAAACCCTGGTGTAATTTTTCAGTAATACAGAGGTTTCTTACGTTAAAAGCAAATACGTTGTTACATACACAAGCGAATCGAACAAGTTCAGATATAGAAACACCATAAGATGGTGACAAGGGAACGTCACCATAAAAAAATTGATAATTAACAATAGGAAATGAAAAATCATCTCTTTTATCATAAATTTTGGTATTAAGCTTCCTGTTAAAGATATAGATATCAAGATCCAGGAAAGGGCAGTGTTCATTGTTAGTATTAGCTTTATTTAAAGTCAGTTCAGCAGGATAAATCTCTTTAGTGTACATACTGAAGTCGTCATTATTGAGAGCCAATATATCATCCAAATATCTAAAAGTGTTATTAAAGTTTTGTATCAGATGTTGTTTCGATGGATCTTTGCTGATTTAAGTCATAAATTGTAACTCATAACAATACAGAAACATGTCCGCAATAAGTGGTGCACAGTAAGTCACCATTGGAATAATTCCGATAACTTGACGATATATCGAATCTCCATAGGGAACAAAAATGTTATCTAGTAAAAATTTAAGGGCAGTTATCGTATCAAAGCAGGTCTAATTGACATAATTCTTGTGTCTGTTGTTACTAAAAAATGACCTAAAAGAGTTAGAACACATATATTCGCATTCTGACTTTTAAAATGCCCATATAATTAGGTGAGTGATTTTTTTCTTAATAAGATTATGCCTATTGGGGTAAATTGGTATATAGAGTAGAAAAATCAAAACTTTGAACAGATTCGAAATCACCAATATAAGCATGCAATTTATCAAGTACTTCCATCGAATTTTTGACACTCCAAAAGTAATTAATTCCACTATTTTCAAAGGCCTTGTTTGAACAATTTATTACTCGGTTTTTGATTGTACCAAGTGTAGTAGTAAGTAGAATAGACAGTTTAGAAGTTGAACAATGGCTTGAAGACGAAATAAATCTTTATTTGTAAGGTATTTTTTGCAGCTTCGGAAGCCAGTACATAGTTGGAACTTTCATTGTATTTGGTTCTGCTTGTAAAGAGGTAGCTAAAAGTTTATGTTTGTTACAGATGTCATTTTCAAAAAATAGAGTCAGTTGGCATGTTGGTGAATTCGTGATTTCCTTTTGCAGAACCTAAATGTAAAATTTACGTCAAACAATAATGATATTATTAGCAGCCTTATCAGCAAATACTCTTGTGGATGAAAATTACCTCTACTGGCCTAAACTTCTTCCAGGTATTCATACGTATATTAGGATGACGCCTTCAGTTTCGTCAGAGTTAATCCTATCCAAATTGAAAGTGAAAGAAATTACATTGACGGAGAAATAATTGAAATAATAATTAGTTAAACAATATAATAATGACAATTTACCACTGAGAAGTTTATCAGTGAAAGTCATAGTTTTTTATTCTAACACGTTTTACATCCATTTAACCTATCATAAAATACGATCCTCGTTATTACTACCTCACGTGTTTTGAATAATATCAGAATTAAGAACAATACTTTTGAAATAGTTCTAAATAAAGATGCACAATTTTCAAAATATCAGCGTTATCACAGATTTCAGCCTTATAAACGGAAGAAAGGATTGTTTCTGCTTAAAACGTTTGAAGACAAAAAAGATAGAAAACTGTACAGTAAAACCCCAACTAGCAACAAACAAGAATCAAATGTTTTTGTACTCTGCAGTTTGCGTTTTAATCAGGTTAAATGATGACCCTACGCAGGTAATTTAAGCACATTTCATTGAAACGTGGTATCTTCCGGGTTATTTATTCAAAAGAAAGACCTATCGTCCTGAAAGGAAATAACCCTATATAGGTTTATAATGTGTTGTTCAATTAGTGCAAAATTTTCCAACGTTGTTTCAAAATAAATCAAAATAATATTTTGCGAATCTTTCAATAAGAACTATACAGAACTTTAAAATAAGAAGTCATGCACGCCAAACCTATTCATAACTTTTAATTCCAAACAAGATTAAATATTTCGTTATCTTATATCTGTTGATTATCATATGATTCTTTATGTGTTCCCTTTACACGAGTGTTCATCATTTGCATATAAAAAAATATATTTTGATATACATAAAACTAGATGTTTAATTTCATATTCCAATTGATTTGCAGGTTGATTTTTTTATGTTTTAGTGTGTCTGTTTGAAGGATATATTTAATAATCAAATATTAGTCGTAATTGTCCAAGGTGAGGGTAGGGTTAGCGCCTTCAGAAATGTTTATCCCGCTACATTCTATATGAGCCTGTCCCAAGATAGTGAGGAGTCTGTTGTTCAGTGGTTGTCGTTGGTACATGTCTGTCATATTTGTTTTTCGTAAATTGTTTTGTTATGAATTATGCCGTTTGTTTTCTCAATCAAATTGTTTCATATTTGTCATGTCAGTGCCTTTTATAGCTGACTATACAGTATGGGGTTTTCTCATTGTTGAAGGCCGTACGGTTGCCCATAATTGCTTAACGTCAACTTCTTTTGAAAATTTGGTGGATAGTTGTCTTAATTGCAATCATACAACATCATCTTATTTGTTATATTATATTCTTTTGTTGGAATAATAATGTTTAGATATTGACGTTTACCGTTGAAACACCTCATATATTTGTATTTTTAACAAAAACTTTTTTTATAATATTTACTCTTTCTCGTTTTAATGTAGAATACGTCAAAAATTGGTACATGGATGGCATAGTTGACAAAAGAATACACTTTCTGAATAAAGCAACAATAGACCATTTCAAACGCAAGTAGTTGCTAGTATTGAAACAACTTAGGGTTATTAATGTCTTGATAAGCGAGCTTTTGGAATTATATTAATTCAGTGTGAAATAAGAAAAGTCATATAATATTATCTGTTTATTAACCAATACATGACAAAACTAAAACATAGGGAAACAATGCAGTATTCTTATATCTCCAAAACAGTAGATATATGTAGGAAAAGTGTAAAGGTCTTCTGACTATTAAAAAAATGTCAGACCTTAATTAACGTTTGTATTGAAATATGCGACTGTCATACAATTAAGATGTTAAGCTAGCTATAAAACCAGGTTAAGTCCACCATTTTCTACATTAGGAAATGCATGTACCAAGTTAGGGATATGACAGTTGTTTTTCATTGGTTTGATGTGTTTGAGGTTTTGATTTTGACATTTGATAAAGGACTTTTCATTTTGAATTTTCCTTGGAGATCGGTATTTTTGTTTTTTTACTTTTTAATATGATGAGTATTATCCTCGAGAAAAATACACAGATTGAGAAAAACTGTAAAAAGCTAAATTGATAAACAACTAAATTAGATATACAAATCGTTTAAATGGTTGTTAGAATTGTGTTGACTGCTATTGGAAGGGTCTATTGATTTGAGAATTAAGGCTAAAAGGGTTATCATTACTCTTATATTAATACTCATATGTTGTAATCTGGCTGGAAACAGAGCATGTCATATCAAATTTGTGATGAAAAGAAAAACTATGTTAAACCCGGTTTTTCTTTTAGAAATTTAGTTCTTTGTTTTCATATTATCATTTCTTATAGGTTTGAAGAACTTAATCATTAGATGTAATGATTACTTTGTTAACTGTGACGTCGACAGAAGACTGCATACCAGAATAAAAAGTTCAGGTTGGTATGATTTGTAAAATGAATTATAAGTTTTCTTCCATACATTTATTCAATTAGACATTTTGAATACCTTTTTTCGTATATGTGTATGATATATTGAACAAATGCTAAACAGTCCCATCTAGAACGGTGTTAATTTTTTAATAAGAAAACGTATCAAAATGTTAATAATTTTGAAAGTCCTGTTCATTTCTAGAGCTGTTTTATGTGGCTGTAGAATAGATAAGTCTTTTGTTTAGAAAAGCGACTAAGCTTAATTTATTGTTTTGTGATGGTTTAATTTTTCAGTAATCCGTTTATGTACTTAATTCTAGGTATTCCTTTAGAAATCGATTTGAGTGGGAACCAAATATTAGATTTTTCTAAACTTGTGTTCACATCATATCATGTTGAGAGAAAAACTCTTTCATCTACGTTTTGGAAAAATATTTTTTTGCCTGTAATTGAAAACAAAGACTCCAATTTATGTCTATTGTTACTGACCATCATGACTGATATGACCTATGATCAATGGAAAGAATGTCATCATTATGTGTTGGAAGGTTTGTCCTCGTCATTGATCAACCAAGACAAAGATACATCAAAAGTAATAGCTTGGTTTATTGCAAAGAAGTTATTTCTAAGCCTCGATAAATCAATTCGAGAAAATGTAACTGATATCTGGCCGGCATTTATGTGCAATTGTCACAGAAAACAACAAATATGTTGTTCCGACAAAATTGTAATAAATATTGAGATGAACAAATTAAGACCAGATTTACCAGACACCTTTTGGAAAACAGACATTAATTATATCTTTGATGACAGAGTCATTAATAAAGAATGTAGTCAAGTACACAAACATTTACAAAATTCAAGTGGTAAAATTCAGTTTTCAAATAAAAAATCAATATCAGGTGTGGATGCAAAACACCTTTTTATGGAACACAACAATTTAACATTGATTTGCAAGTCGTCATTTAAGTCAACTGGATTTCTAAAAGAGAAACACAAGGTCATTGAACAATCATGTTTTCAACTTTACTGTAAGAGAAAAGGATTAATACCTATAGGCGAAAATCATTTTCCGAGCTCGTTCAATGGGTTGATAACAGATGTCTTGGAAGGAAGTCCTCATTTTTTATCACAACTGAAGATTGGTAATCAGGTCGGAACAGATGAGTATAAAAGGGGTACCCTTGGGGGTTTCGTTCAGGTGCGGGGAGATAAAGCATTTCTGACATGCCTTCATGTATTCTTGAGCGCAGATGAACTTGCATCGGACAATCTTTCACTTGATGACGAAAAGACGCTACCAGTGAAACTATATAGGAAGAACGAACACCCACTTATATGCGGTAAAATTAGGGACATAGCATTCGAAGTTGATAATGAGAAAGAAACAAGCATTGACGCAGCTTTGGTTGAAATACAAACAGACAGTATTGAAAATTCTGATTATGTTGATATAGATGAACGAAAGTTATCCTTTAGAGATATAGGTAAGCAATGTTAAGTAATCGGAAAACTTAAGTTGCTGACATATGTATAATTTTCTTAGTTGTTTAATTGATTCTATCGTTCGTTTTAAAATTTTCAGGTTTTTAGAACAGTACGCTTCAAAAAGGCCGATTTTCAAATTTTCTTTTTAAATTGTCAAGATAAAGATAAAAGGAATTATTTTTAATTGTTGTGTTTAAAGAGAGGCGAAAGTTACAATAGGGACATTCAAATGCATAAGTCGAAAATCTGATAACTCCATTTCAAAATATTTAAATAACAAAAAGACAAATAACAGTATCCAAAACACAACATGGAAAACTAAAGACTGAGCAACACGAACCCCACCAAAAACCGGGGGTGATCTTAGGTGCTCCGGAATGGTAAATATCTTATCATTTTCCTTGTATGTTACCAGTATACAGATTTTTCTGAACTTGTATCTCTCTATATAGATATTTTCTCATTGGCAATCATACCACATTATATTCTTATTATATAGTGTCTCGTATTTTGTACCCATCGACATGCAAATTAGTCAAACACAAAAAGTAGAAAATTGGATGCACCAAATCATAAAATAAATCTGTGGTATCATTTTTGATGCAAGCGGCAAGTTTTTAATCTGAAATGGTTCAATCAGGTTCGCTTGTAACTTCAAAACGGGTGTTCGCCATGTTTGGATTGATTGTTACTGGTATTAAAAACTGTATATTGGAAAGGCAAAAAGTTAGCCTGTAACGAAAAAACTTTGGAAGCAATTATTGGAAAGCTAAAAGTTTTTTTGTTAACTTTTGACATTCTAGTTATTGCTGTAATAGTTGGTATGATTTGGAAAGAGATCGTTTCATCGTAAATTTACATAAAGGTATTCAAATGTTGGAAATACGAAGTTAAAAGGCTAATAATATCAACCTCCGAAGTTTAAAAAGGACCCAAACAAATCTGAAACAAAAGAGAGCATAAACAAACAGCAGGCATACAAAATGAAACCCAATTTTTAAGCAACTTGAAAGTAAAACATAAATTAAGCAATTCTTGCTCAAAATAATAGTGATCGTCATGTTGCCATTAAGGTATATACATACAGCCTTTGGAAATATTCTACAAAGTTGTCATGTTCGTACTATATATACATATTATTTTACAGCCATGAAGTCAGAGTATCTAAATGATAGCTGTGTTGACTACAGATCTCTATGCTTTTCCACACCAAAACCAATATTACATACTTTCTGCGTAGGCGCTATTTCGGGATTTCAGGAAAGCAGCAGAACACAGGTTCATGAAAATAAAGACAAAAATATTGATTTGGAATCCATCGAGGACACATACAGTAAGGCCGTTCTCGACGAAATTAAAACAAATGTAAAAATTGTTATCCAGTCTCTTCAACTAACTCCTTTAATAGTTCCTCCAGACGAACATGCAATCAAAATGAATATTGAACAGAACTGTGATCCTAATATATCACCTGAAATCAAAGCAATCGTTATTGACGTAATAAAAAGTATTTATCCAACAATTCAATGTACCGGTGGTGTTGATATTGACAGCTTTATTCATGAAATTATATTCTGTAATACACAGAGTAGATTTTCAGCAATAATAGGAGATGTCCATATGCAGCAAGCAATCCTGAAGAAGACCGGCCAAAATATGGCTGTAAAAAGAACATCACGCAGAGTTTACAATCAGCTTTACATATCAAATATACCGTTTCAGCCAGGTGATTCAGGAACGTGTATATATGTGCTTAATCCGGTTCAGGGTTGTATAGGAATGGCAATCGCTGACCATCCACAAGGAGGTTGTATAGCAACTCCTATAATGGACATTCTCAAACATTTCAAGATAAGAATCAAGTGAAAAATGTCAAAACACTGTACATAAACTTTATTTTAGGTTTAATGAACTCAACAAGATATGCATATACTGTATACTTTATTTCTGTATTTGAACCGAATGCTAAAATGTTTTTTTCAATAATAATTATAATCTTGGTCAGAGTAATCACTAATTTCAATTTTGTATTCTTCCATACAAGCTTTTATACAGCAAATGGCTTTTTTATCTGAATGTTAACTGGTGTTCGTTTTACTAGAATATTATATAATTATTGCTAGACATTAATCTTGAACATCCCTTTTTTTAAATAAAAGTTGATTATTAGAAATATAAAGGACCAAATTATGTACCTTTATTATTTCCATGTTTAAGCTAGTTGTATTCCTGTTGACAGCTGCACTGCGTTTGTGTTTTATTGAGTACTTAAGATTTTCCGAAGTAAAGTTTAGATAGACAAAAAAGGGTGAGTGTGCACGCACACAAAACTAGTTTATTCCAACTCAATTGGCAATTGTGATGGCACAAAGTCAGGATATCTGGACCATGCGTTGGTTGTATTGAAAATATAAAGATATGTGTTATGGTTGCAGCTCACTCGAGAAGAGTTCGAGATAAATGGCATGGATTTAATATATCACCGTAATGACTTCGACAATTTTACCGTAAAGTAACCTATAACAATCCCCTTAACAACAAAGTGAAACAATTCAAACAAAAAAACTAGCATCATGGGTAATGCTAAACCAATAAACGAAAAACAGTGAAGACAGGGAGAAATCAAGAACAACCACTGAATTATAGGCTCCTGAATGGGGATAGAACATTAAGAATATGGCACAGTTAAACCATGTTTGGGAGAGCGGTTTTCCCTTCCCTTAATATTGAAATAGTATGTCAAAACATGAAAAGAAATTGTAAAAATAATTTTGTATGTCTGTCTTTTCGGAGGAGTCTGGTGTGTGTTAGTTGATGTGGTCTGTTGTACTGTTCAGTGTTTTTGGCAGTTCCTGTTTTACCCTATTATGTATTACCAAGATTTTTTGTTTCATGTATATTTCCGTTATACACTTTTTTGCAATTTGTTTTTTTTATGCCTGACAATTTGGGGTTTACTATATCTGTTGTAGTCGTTACACACAGTTGAAATTTTATTAGCATTTAATAAGAAATTATAGTATAAAAGTTTATGATTCCTTTATTTAAGTGGCATTATTTCACCGATAGTTTTGTTGCACATTTTTCTAGTTTATTTTTATGTTCTCGAGTGAACCCGGTGAAAGCAATTTATCTGGATATATTTAAAACTATATGGGTAGGCACGGACATCGATGTCATATGTTTTAATTACAAAATACTGACACATAATAAATGTCAGTGATCGTATTGACACGAATGAAACCTACGCAAGAGAAAGATTAAAAACAAATTCACTCCAAACAAACTTCCTGACAAAACTAATGAAAATATGAGCCATAAAAGGCAAATAAAAAAAAATACTACATACTCAAACTAATTATTCAAAATTGGTGTAATTTTGATTTTTTCATTTCATCATATTAAAAATAAAAACAACACTTGCGGTTAACATTACGTGCTTTAATGCTCTGAACAAATTACATGTGTTTCTTATTTTCTACTTTAAGATATACACATTTAAAATTTAAAAAAAATACATCAGATACTGTTTTCCAACACGTCAGCAAAAGTTATGGATTCGTACAGAGATACACCGGGTGGCGCAAACTTAAAACAACCCTTATATTATTTTGAGCGTGCGAAGCGCTTTTTTTGGGGGGGATTCACCTTCACCAGGAACACTCAAAACTAAAACATTTGAAAGCCCACGAATTATGATACCTGAAAACGTCATGAGTAATATGATCAAACGGTATATAAAAAGAATAGCCAAATTCATTTAAGGTAAACTTTTCCTAACGGAGATGGATCCTTAATTTGTAAATAATTTATTAATAATTCATCAACGGGAAATTAAAGTTGGGAAAAGCGTTTATACTCATGTCAGTACAGAAGCACTGACTACTATAGTATGATGATCATACGGCAGTGGTATCGATCGAGTGCTAATTAATGAAAATAACATATAATCCAGTGCGTAAAATAACAAAAATACCGAACTCCAAGCAAAATTCAAAACGGAAAGTCCCTTATCAAATGGCAAGATTAAAAACTCAAAAACATCAAACAAATGGAAAACAACTGTCATATTCCTGACTTGGTACAGGCATTTGTGGTGGATTAAACCTGGTTTTATAGCTAGCTAAACCTCTCACTTGTATGACAGTGGCATAGAATTCCATTATTGACAATAATATGTGAACAAAACAAGCAGACATAATAGGTAAAAATGTCAAAAGTAGGGGTACAGCAGTCAATATTGTGTTATAATCTTAATCACTATAAAAACAAACAAATATGTCAACAAAGAAAAACAAAATGGCATGACTAGGTCATATTAAGTGTAGTTTTGCGAAGCATGCAAGGAACGGATATGAACTCTGCGCTGGAGATTCAAAGCACAAAAGCAAAAATAAAAGACAAGAATTTCAAAAAAAATTGACGATTGCACAACAACACAATGGCGGGATGTACAAGTACCGAGCCACGCCAAAAGGAAAACGTGAGGAGCTATATGACTATGTTCAATAGTAAACTGTATGATCCGACACCCCATTAGTCCGATATCTGTATAGTTAAAAACATTATATTAGAAAGCCAAATAAAGATTCGTTCAATATTAGATGGAGGGCTTTGTCCTTAGAAGGAACAGTTGAATCAAGTTATCAAGATATGTTGGTGTATTAGTGCTAAAGTAGCAGAATTTCATCACAAGCGTACCTAAGAGGATACAATACTTTGTTAAGTGTTGTCGAATTAGTTAGATATCGCTGGCTACACTATCTCTCAAACACAAGGGGATGCAGTTTAAAAAATTATAGAACCGATGAAGCTTTACTGGTTACACGATTATATGTGTGAATATAGCTTAGGTGAATAAGACGGGTACACTTTTCTGGTGTAACTAAACCGATAAAATGTAATAACGATTAACTCAATTAATACTTCATATCTAATGGATTTTTTGACAGGGGAGCTAAAATGTAACAGTTAATCCATTATCTGAAGAGAACACCAATCTAGTTTGTATTATGGACACCAATATCTAAAAAAGAGTAAAATAAACAGAGTACACGTGTTTAATGAATATCTACCTCCCAAGTAATCATAGTAATCTTCAGTGTTTGACGCTTTCGCTATAAGGAATGTATAGACTGTATGAGTTTACAAAATATATTCTGGTAAATAGTAATAAAGGAAAATAACAAAACAGTAGAGTTATCATATGAATAATTTCATACAAAATGTCCCTCGACCTGACAAAGGATGAGACAATAAGATTATTGGAGTTTTGTATAAAATCAGTGTTACCTTGCTATGAAAAAACTTTAGATTTTTAAGGACCAACCACTATGTATTTCTTTAATAAATGTATATGTCACAGGAACATGCCGATACTTCTCATAAATATACAGCTAAAGCAAAGAAGTTAAAAAAAGAACTAATATTTATTGATTGTTGTTTGCATAACGTCAGTGGCAAATATTGCATGCATGTTCACAATAAATACAATAGGTAAACTCGAGGTCGAATGAAGGGCGGGTGTATATTGGATAGGGAAAGAAAATATTAAACAGGTCACCTACGGTCCCCTCAAAGAGTTGCAAGGGTTCCTAGCGTACAGAGAGCGTGTCATTCTCTCTACACGAGGCATAGTTACGTCCCATTCTGCCCGAACGTGGCTACGTATGTATAAATCCCTCACAGCATTTGTACCCCCTAACCCTCGACCTAACTTTAAATTACCAAGTTTTTTTTGCCGTTCGGAAACAGTCCGAATGACTAAGGTAACATGTCGCAAGGCTAAAAATCTGGCCTACCTATTGTATTAATTGTTAATTTGTTCTCGTCTCGAACATGCATGGAATGTTTGCCATTGGACGTAAAGCAAACCGCAATCAATCAATCAAATTGCCTTTAAGCGGAATGTTTTTGTTATGAAATAGTCACGTTTTATTTTTGTAAAGCAAATACTAGTATTGCACGTTTTCGAGTGCCTTATCTTTATAGGATCATGGTATTTCTTACAAAAGAGATTGGAAGTGATGTAGAGACAGAGTAGACACTAGTTCAAATACTAGTATCACGTCTCCGATTCTATGAAGCAGAATTTTAATTACGACCTGTGACAGACTATAGGGGCGTCGGACAAATGAAATGTCCGACCAATAGGGTGTCAGAATAGCGGGGCGACCAAATTATGCATCCCACAGAGCCAAACAGTGTCCCTGTGGCATGCTTTTTATAAGTGCCAGATGGAAGAATAGTTTTAACCCTATTACAAAAGCGTAAAGCAACATTTGAATCCCGTATAGTCAAGATACAAAGAAGATTACTTTTTTTAAACAAAAATAAGAAACTAGAAACAGCGATTTAAGAAATCAAAGTAACAAGTTTTCCTTACATGTATAATTATTTGCCGTCATGGAGTTCAAATAGTTGAAATAAACAGTATACGTAAGTGGATATAGCTTTGTCGTTCTGAACATGCATGAAATATTTGCCACTGGACGTTTAGCAAGCAACAATCAGTCTATCAAATTCACAATATTAGATCTGCATAACATATAACATGTTTAAAAAGACAAATGAATTGATGAATGAATCCTGATTGATGATTGTAGGCTGATTATTGGCACGATCACTAGCATTACCAATAAACTGAGAATTTTTAACAAATACCAAGTAACACACTCCAATCAGTTTCAAATACGATAATATACTGATGCTTTAGAATGTGATCAGCACAGATTCCGAAATGTGTTTTTCCTTTAATAATTTTTACAGCGTTTTGCTCGCCTATTATGATTTAAAAAAAAGTATTGCCTTTTTTCGTTATCTTAGTGTGTTGTATTATTGAGTACTTATAATTATTTTGACCAGCATATTTAATTGTTCCGCCTTTTTATAAAACCACACATTTTTATATTTATTTTGAAATTAAATTATCAAATTATTTTCGATCCAATCGCAATAATTGACAGCTGTTATTATTCATTTTTAGATCTACAAAATAACGACCGTGAGAAGCTGAAAAGGGTAACATTAGCTCTAATACCATTTATTTCAATCAATTTTAAAGTTAAAACATTTTCCCCATGGTACATTCAGGGCCTATAATACAATTCAAAGAACTAATCTTAGAAAAATAAATATTGTCTTGTGCTCAGCAATTACTTCGGATTGACAATAAAGAGG